ACATCAAAATAATTTCCCAATATGAAATAATAAACAATTAAACATGCATACAATAACGCCAAATTAAAAAATATTCATACACTAATTTATTTGGCAACGTCTAGTCTAGATAGTCGTCTGGTCAAAAGATCGTGTAACGAGAAGTAGAGGTGGGTCGTGCTAGTTTATCGTTAAGAGCGTAGGTGCAAAATTTCGGGGCAATGTTTTTTAAATGCATTCATTTTTTTCGAATCCTGAGAAAACTAATAAATATTTTTGAAAAAATTAAACGCAGAATGAAACAATACATTATTACCGAGAGCTGAAAGTCCCTGAAAACTTCTATAATGTTTATTTTAATAAGTTATAGGGATGAAAAAAAAAAAAAACAAAATTTAGTGTGATTTTTAATTTCAAATATCTCATTAAAAAAACTTTTTGTTTATTCTAAGGGACCTTCGGCCCTCGGTAATAATGTAATCTTTCATTCTGCATTTAAATTTTTCAAAAATATTTGTTAGTTTTCTCAGGATTCCAAACAAATTTAAATTTTTTTGAATGCTAAAAAGCATTTAAAAATTTTAATTTTCATAAACAAGTAACTATGATTGTTTAAAAGTAGTTTCAAGTAAGATAGTACCTACATAAACAAACATAACGGCTATTATCGTTTATGTGTATAATATCTTTTGAAGTGAAAGAAACAACCTAATGATATATTTATTATAACTTGAAAAATAAACTAAACAATCATCATCATCATATAACGGGGGTCCTACGGCGATTGCCGCTTCCCGCATTTCAGCCTCCATCTTTTCCTATCTCCCCAATCTCCCTCTTCTAAGCCTCTAGATTGCATTGTTTTTGTAATTTCTCTTCTCCAGGAATTTGGTGGTCTTCCCCTTTTCCTTCTTTCTGGCGGAACATACATTAAGGCTTTCTTTGGCCACCGCTCCTCCTCCATTCTCATCACGTGACCATACCATTGTAATTGCCTTCCTTGTATTCTATCTGAAAGAGTATCTCTAATTCCTGTACGGTTTCGTATTTCCTCATTCCTGATTCTTTCCATTCTCGATACTCGACATGACCTTCTAAGATAATCCATTTCCACAACGTCTACTTTATCTCGTTCATTCTTTGTCATCGTCCAACATTCGGCACCATATGTGGTAATTGGTTCTACAATTGCTCTGTATACGCGAAGTTTGGTATGCATCTTTATTTTATTAGACCACAGTAATGAATTCAGTATTCGGATGCATTTTTTCCCTTGGGTTATTCGGTTTTGTACATCTATCTTAACTCTGCCATCTGCTGATATGATGCTTCCTAGATATTTATACTGGTTGCAGCCTTTTATGACTGCGTTTTCAAGCCTCAGATCTGTGGTATTTCCTCCAATTTTTAAATATTCTGTTTTAAATATTCTGTTCTAAACTAAACAATACAAATAGTAAATCGGACTTACATTTACATTACACGTTATTATTAAATCGCGAATAGTCTAAATTGACATAAAAACTATTGTCCTGTGTTAAATATTGTCCTGTTAATGCGAAGTAACTCTCAGTTACTCCAGATGTCCAGAGGTCAGTAGTAATACAGATATTTTCTACTTCTTTAACAACTTGCGATCTAATAATTTGCTCACTTTTGACATAACATTCCTGAAGTAATGAACCTGACAAAGTTTTTCTTGTTGGCGGTTTATATCCAGGAATCCACCCTGCAAACTTTTTAAAAGCTGGTTCTTTAACTATGGAAAACGGATGAAACGAAAAGTTTAGTAAATCTTGAAAATCAATCAGTCCAAGAAAAAGAAACTGATAAAGATGACTTAAGTCCATGGTGTATTTTTGATGAATTAATTGGACATGACTCATCTAAACATACACCTGTATCGAGAGGTATAAAAGAAGTCGACATGTAATTGTCTGATGATATATTACCCACAAACAATTTCGAACGGAGATTGGAACTGTCCATTACCGTGGTGAAAAAACCATCGCCATGTATATCGTAACTTAACCACTATATTCATAAAATGTTGTAGTATTGTAACAAAATCTTTTCCTTGTGAACACATGTTTAACATCTGGTATAATTTTAAATAAAAGAAGAACGCGATTAACAAGAAAAGTGGAAAAACTTATGTTTTTAAATGTCAATTTAGACGATTCGCGATTTAATAATGTGTAATGTAAATGTAACTATTTAAGTACCATTTGTATTATTTAATTTATTTTTCAAGTTACAATAAATATCTCCTTCGTTAGGTTCTTTTATTTCAATACTTATACACATAAACGATAATAGCTAATATGTTTGTGTACTCGCTAATTTGAATACTGGTAAACAATCAACTAGTTACAGTTTACGAAAAACTGTTCCGATAAAAATTAAAAAAACGAGAAGACCCACCTCTAGTTTTTTAGGTATATTAGGATCGGAACCAGAGAATATCTGATCGGAACTAATCGTCTCACTAATGGGCAATGGCCAATGAGTGTTAAAAGGATTTTAGGAGGGGAGACGAAGGGGAAATATGATTGTTATCTTTGTCTAATTCATTGAAAATATGATTTTATATCTGCGTTAGATATCCTGTTAAATTTTACCATACCGACCTTAAAATTTTACCTACACTGTATATATATATATATATATATATATATATATATATATCATTATAACAGAGTGTGGATTACATCTCGACCTACCTCAATAAATACAGCAGGCAAGGTCAAACTCATATTGCGCTAGATTGCACATTCCAATAGAAAAGAAAGTATAATAGTACAGGTATATTTAATAAATAAAAATAATCATGGATAGTGTATACGTTAAGCAAACTGAGATAGGAGCAGAAATAGCGAAACTCTATCTAGCGGAATCTACTGGTCGTAGATTATAACACACTGCACTACTTCGAATTGACCGCGGAAGAGAGAGAGAAAGGTGCTTACTGTTGACAAAGGCGCAGATAGCGTGCTCACCAACGGCTATAAGAAACATGTATACCCACCCAAATTGCATACTTGAAGAAATTTATAAGCGATCTAAGAATAGCACATGTCCACTGGTAGCCAGGACAATACAGACAGCTCAATGGAGTAAGATGGGTACTCCCAACCTCTGGCTAGTTGTCACGCCAGTCACGATACACATATCCATTATTTGCGATGGAAATCGGAGCGAAAGAGTACTGGAAACGAGTCACATTCCTGAAGCTTTCACCCAAATGTATCGCCCATACGAAAAATATTACATTACTCCCCACTAGCAGTGGGGTGGACAGAGCGGTGACGAGTTACCTGAAGTCGCCAATCACTCCCGTGGCCCAACTGGTGGCGAGGACACCCCGCAGGTTTAACACACCTCTAAACACCTACCTTGACATACCAGGAGGAGAGCTACGTCATGTGTTACTTGAGGAGGAGAGTCTGGAACAAGAAATGACGCATACGCAGTGGCGATCGATTCACGAATCTAATTGGCATTATTTTGTGGCCACCGGGACCATTACTATAATGGTAATAATTGGGATACTCACGTTATGGAAGTACCGTCCTGTTGCACGACTATGTCGTTCAGGTAATCCACAAACTCAGACTAACGAACAGGAAGTACCTGTATTAGTTAATAATCGGCACAACAATGTACCGTCGACTTCCCAAGCCGACATCCCACTCTCCACATTTTCATCCAATTGCCCTAATTTTAATCTAGAGATAGAGTCGGACATTGATAGCTAGGGTACGGTTGGAAGATTATTGATTATTCTTAAACTATTTATAATTTATCATGTTTGAATTTTACTATGTTATGTAATACTTATATGTAAACTTTGAGTATTGACACTTGGGCCAGATTGCCCGATTCCGCAGTATGTTAAATATCAAATCTTCAGAATTCATTTTCGAAATTGGACAGTATAATTTTATCACCCAGTAGACCGAATGAATTTATTTGTTATTAAATACACACACGTAGTTAATTAGGTTACATTAGATTTGGTCAATTATCAACAATAAAATTTGGACATCAGTCGAAAGTGCTGACGAAAGTTAAACAATTTACACACAACTTAGATACACATGTCATTAGGTCCGCGAATATATTGACCCAAATTAAAACTTATATAAAACTAAAATCTCTTGCCTAGATAAGCATTCAATCAATATTCACTCAACAAACGTGATAGTCTTCAACACTCAACTGCAACAGTCTCTACTCAAAGTAATCCCGGGTCAACACCCATAGTGTACGTCTCGTCAATAAACTCTGCTACTATTAAAAAACGAAGGGGGATTTGTTCATGGTCCTATCGAGAAACAGAATACTTCAAAGAAGTTTGAGAAAGCCTATACAGTCCACGCCAGCAACACCCACAGTAGTAGAGAGAGACCACTAGACCCGGGAGAACGAGAGCAGTTACCAAAGCCGAGAGCCATACTAGAGCCGAGAGCAATACAATAGCCGAGAGCCACACTAGAGCCGAGAGCAGTACCAAAGCCGAGAGCCATTCTAGAGCCGAGATCAGTACCAAAGCCGAGAGCCATTCTAGAGCCGAGAGCAGTACCAGATCCGAAAGCCATACTAGAGCCGAGAGCAGTACCAAAGCCGAGATTACAACTGAACGAACATCTTCACTGAGCCAACGAAGGGGAAGTTGTTCACTGAGTTTATTCATTACACTGTTGGAGATTTGTGCAAATACGTAATTATAAATTTCTTAGGTTGTTAAGGTACTTTTATGTTCAGTTTCAGGTTTATATTTTCTACAGAAGCAGTTTCGTAAAGAAATTTACGTGAAAACGGATTAAAGCTAAAGGTCTTTTTCTTCTAGTTCCATGGCCTTATCTATCGTGGAAACCCTGAATAATTAGACGAATTGTTTGCTTTGTAAATAAAGTACCTTTCTATTTTTATTAATAGGCAGATATTTAAATCGATCTTCTCTTTCTTATCGTATTTAAGTATTATTTGAGAACTTAAAATCTGAATTGATTTTTTAGTTTTAAGAGTTCCACCGGACATAGGAGGTGCAACTTTCATGGCAACAGCAACTGCCTCTCCAGAGCTCTTTGTAAATATTGTCGGTACTTTTGTGACGGAAGGCGATATTGGACTTGGTACTATATTAGGTTCGACAGTATTTAATATTTTAGGAGTTACAGCATGTTGCGGATTAACCCTGGCATTTGTAAGTATTAACAATTTGTATTGTAACGTAAGTATTACTTTTATCTGGTTCTAATTACATTGTTTATAATACTTTGCTTAGTGAATTTCTTTTCCTATTATCTAACAGACCACAGGGAATTCCTGTTTTAAATTTTTTATGTTGATTTATTATTTTTACGTTGATTTTTATATTACTCGATTTGTGGATCAACCTTTTGAATATTTTAATTGATACAAACCAACGTGTCTCTTGTTACTTTAATTATTATTTGTACATTTGTACAGTTGTACGTCAAAGAATACACATGAAAACTTATTCAGATCTTGAATTCATAAAAAGCTGTTAGACAAAAATTATAGTTTTGTTAGTGTTATTTCTAGTTGCTAAGCTTATTAACCGTCATTAACAATGTCAACTGTCAACTTATTACAGTTGAACATATAAATCGAACATTTAGTTTTTTGAAAAATTGAGTGTGTTTTCATTTTCCAATGAGGATTTTTTTTCCTCCAATAAAGACAGTGGTGCTGGTTGATATAGTCCTTTTCTATCATATTGATAGCACATTATGTATGCAAATCCTCAACAGGTCAAAATCCATAGGCGTCACCATATACTTGTTTTGAAATAAATAAAAAAAAATTATTATTTTAAGATGCCGTCAACAATTCATTATCTTTTAAAAAATCTTCTGTAAAATAAGTGTCCACTAATCTCACTATACCTTTTTTGTGCGTAAAAAACGTCGGTATATATACCACACGATTATTGTTAATTATACACGGGTGATTAACGAGAGAATTCAATGTTTCACGAAATAAATTAATGTAGACAGTAATTTAAAGGCGATTATTGTTTTCTATACAAGTTATCGCCTGACACAAAAAGAATACCTTCTTTGAACGATTACCTGGAATTACTGATAAGGCTTCACTAATGATAAATTAAGTAGTTTTTATGCCACATTACAGCTTATGCCAAATAATGTAAATTAGAAGTTGTTTGCATCTTCCATTTAGTTCGTAGATGTACATTGTTCATGTCTTACCTACCTACGTCATGTCTTCGTTTTGGTGTCGATATTTTGTTATTTGCATTTAAAAATGACGTCGACAACAGGTTTTATCCCGGCTAAGTGTAGTTTTAAAGGTACCTCAGTCTAAGAGAGAAAAATATAATATTAAATGTACACGATGCACTTGTACATCAACGCCCTTTAAGTAATGTTCGTGAAATCGTTAACATGTATTCAATTATGACAGGGGTTGGAGAAGCAACAATTTATAGATTCCTAAAAGAAAGAAAAGGAGGAACTGTTTCATCTCCCAAGAAGAGTGGAGGGAGTAAACCCTTGGAAATTGAAAGAAATACATCAAAAACATGATAAGACGCAGCGTCCACTCATTTTTTCTCAACAAAAAATTTCCAACATTGGATAAAATCCAAACATTAATTAGAAAAAACGAAGAGTTACCAATCATAAGCAACAAGAAATTATGGGGACTATTGAGAGAGATGGGATTTTGTTGGCAAGAGAATAGAAGAAAATCCGTTTTAATTAAAAAAGATTACATTGTATGTTGGAGACGAGATTATCTAAGAACTATTAAAAAGTACCGAGAAGGGAAAACAATTTTATATTTGGACGAGACTTGGCTAAATGAAGGTCATACTGTACCATATCCATGGGTTGATACAAATGTGAAAAGTTCCCGTCAGGCATTCATCGAAGGTGTATCTACTGGAATAAACAATATTCCCGTTGGAAAAGCACGCAGACTCATAATAACCCATATTGGAAACGAATACGGTTTTGTCAATAGTGGATTATTAAGTTTTGCCTCAAAATCAACCAAAGATTACCACGAGGAAATGACTGCTGACGTTTTTGAAGAATATTTTGAGCAAATGTTGGATTTAATTCCAAAAAATTCTGTCATCGTCGTGGATAATGCTAGTTACCATTCAAGACTAGCAGAAAAATTGCCATGGCAATGGCATGGAAAAAAGGAGAGATAATCGAATGGTTGGATAAACACGCAATTAAGTACAAGGAGAATTCGACAAAAAAGGAATTATTTTGAGCATTACCTATATATTTTACGTTTATCCCCCATACCACTGTTATCTGAATCCGATAGAAAATATATGGCCTCAAGTAAAGGGTGAAGTCGGACGCAACAACAAAACTTTTAAATTAGAAGACCTACAACAATTATTAGAGCATTCCTTATCAAAAGTAACTCCAGAAAATTGGAAAAATGCTGTTAGTCATGCGCACAAGAAAGAAATGTGGAATTTGGATAATATGACTGATGTAATGCTGGAACCGGTAATAATTAACATTGGAGTTGAAGATTCCTTAGATTCTGAAGAAAGCAGTGAATCTGAAATGGAATTTGATTAAAATTATATTCATTTTTTTACAAATCGCGCCTGTTAAAGCCACAAATTATTTTATATATAACCAATAAAATAAACATCTTATATTTCTTGCAAATTCATTAGTACCTGTTAATCTCCATCACTCCGACACTGGCAACTTTATTTAGGGATTAGTAACCCTCAAAACTATTGTATTCTATTCTGCTTTAACCTTTATACCTGGTGGTCATACTTAATTTAAAATTGTTTTCCTATATACTTCTGTAAACTTGTTAACAAATATCTATTTTTCATTGAGTCACCCGTATCAACAGTTTAGGGATTTGCATACATAATGTGCTATCAATATGATGGAAATAAACTATAGTACTCTTTAATGAAACCTTACTTAAAGGGTACTAACAATATATATATATATATATATATATATATATTATATATATATATAATATATATATATATATATGTATATATATATGTATATATATATATATATATATATATATGTATATATATATATATATGTATATTATATATATATAATATATATATTTTAAAATTCCAAAAGCTTTTTAAAATCACGTGACCACTCGTACTTTGGCCGCTCAAGTTCCCACCTTAATTACTAATAACACTTTCAACTTTCCTCAGATTAATTATAAAAGCTTTAAGGCGTGTTCCAAGTTCTGTTTAAGTTATAAGTTCTGTATAATAAATCTTCCCCTGTATGGGATTCTGTACTTCTTTAAATATATACTTGCCTTATTCGATACTACCTAATTTCTTCAGTGTTCAGTATCCAAATCGGTCACAATACCGGTCACGGTATTATAAGAATCAGTCACAAATGATAAAGATAAAGAATCATATTTGTTAGTAAATTTTATATTCCTCTTAAAGCTTTGCATGATTGCTTTGTCTTAAAAATTCTATCTATTTTATATATCAATATTCCAAATTATATATAAAATTTTTTGTTATAGACAGGAAGTAAATCACAGTTGGAATGGTGGTCTCTTACGAGAGACTCTGTAATATATGGCATTTCTGTATGTCTTCTGGTATGGTTTTTAAACAATGAGCAGATAGAATGGTACGAAGCACTTACATTAGTTCTTGTGTATGTGTTATATATAATTTTTCTCATATTTGATCAACAAATTCAAAAATATATCAAAGGTAAGTTTGTCTGTAGATTTTATTTGTTTTTAGATTGTTTGTGACGTAATATATCTACCAGTAATATTTTTAAAGTGTTTATAATGCTTCTGAACATACATTTTTATACTTTCATTATAAATAATATCAAAGTTATTTTCCGATTAAGATTATGAAACACGAGAATTATGATACATATCGCGGAATGTTCTTTTATGACTAACTTTAAACTATCAAAAGACTGATATTTTTTGTACACACTTATGACAAGTCGAAAGAAAATGCAAAAAAGTATTTTTGAAGTGTGTATATTTTAGGCAATTCCTAGCTGAGCGCTTTCGGCTTTACAAAGCCATCATCAGAGCTATGCTACAATAAAATGTTCTAATAAGTACTAATTGGTAAAGATTGTAATTTTTAACTTACGTCAATTTTTAAATACCACTACAAAGGAGAGATCTCATTTCCTTAAGTTTCACAATTATGATTTTGTAGGAGTTGGAATTTTTAAAACATATAAAAAAAAACATATAAAAGGTCGACACTGGACGTCACAAACACGTTAAAAAAATTGAAAAATTTTTTTTGTCATGGTACGGGTTTTAAGCCCGACCATCTATTGATGTGAGGATGTAGACTGAATAGAACTAGTGAAATCAAATGTCGGTCCTTTTAAACGATTTTTCAAAAGTGACAGGTGACAAATGTCATATATAGGAAATAGAGATTGTTTTTTAAATTCTTACAAAATTATTTAGTAGTTTGGAATTACTACTAGTCATCAAAGACTTTCTAAAAATTAAGTTTTTAAAATTAAATTTTATGTGTTCATCACATCATACAGAATGACATTAATTTGTAAATTCACTCAAGTCATTGCTCAAGGTCAATGTATGTTCAATCTGACAGCTATCCTTAAGGAACAAGGGCTCAAATTGTTCAACAACACTATAAAGAAGAAACCTGGTATTAATGTTATGTTATCTGATACTTAAGTGTATTAAGAATTGTATGTCTTGATGGAAAATTGTAAGAACTTTGCATAAAAAATTTTTTTAAGAATGTATTTTCATGTTTCAATTAAGAACAACTGTCAAATGAATTACAAAATGTTGTAAATTTTAATAAAGTTTAAAATTTGTTTAAAAAATAAAAGTATGAAAAATATATAACAAGATTGCATGAGGTCACCCTTCTTCCTCTAAAGTCTCCCATAATAATTTAAAAAGAGGTTTATAGTTGCAATTGAGGTTGATTTGTGTGTTTAAGCAACAATCAGGGTTTATTTTCATTTCTTTGGATATCTCTAGATCTTCCAAGAGATTCATGAGTCTAAAGTTTTTATTAGGAATGTTGTGTAAAATTTTACTGTTTTCAGAAGGAGAAAAAGAATGATTATTAAATTTAATGTGATATCCAAAGTTTGATTTTTCTGAGTTATTGAGGTGTTCTTTGATTCTTTGATTCAGAGTTCTCATTGTTCTACCTACATAAGTCATATTACAATCACCACAGGAAAGCTTGTAAATACCACTTCTGTTTAGTTTGTCAACTTTGTCTTTGGTCTTGCTGAAGATGGACTTGATGTTATATTTGGTTTTAAAGGAGATGTTTAAGTCATTAATTTTATTAACAAGTACTCTTGAAATTTTTTCTGAAATTGGTCCTAAGTAAGTTAAGGATCTATATATGGAAGTAGTGTTGGATTTGTTATCAACATTAAAAGCTTGGTTTAGTCTCTTTTTGAGTATAGATTTTCTAATGACTTTATCAACAGTAGTAGAAGGAAAACCATTGTTGTTTGCTATCTGTTTAATGATGGAGATTTCTTTATTGTAATTTTCTTGAGACATAGGGATATTAAGAAGTCTGTGGACATAACATTGAATAGCTGCCATCTTGTGTTGAAAAGGATGATTTGATGATGTTGGTATCATATGGTCAGTTTGAGTAGGTTTTCTGAATATTGAAAATTCTAGTGTAGGCAAAGAAGAAAAGGAGGAAGTATTCTTTTTGATAGTTAGGTCTAAAAAGTTGATAATGTTGTTGCTTTCTACTTCTAAGGTAAAATTAATTGCAGGATGTAGATTATTAATTATTGACAAAATATTGTGAGGTTCTGAAGGTGGGCCTTCTATAAAGGCTAAAATGTCATCCACATATCTGTACCATAGGATTATTTGTGGTTGAGAATGAACAAAGTTAGTTTCGAGAGAGTCTAGAAAAAGATCTGCAAGTAGAGGAGATAAAGGATTTCCCATTGCTAAACCCTCTGGTTGTCTATAAATTTTATCGTTAAAGATAAAGAAATCTTGGGAAAGGCAAAATTGGAGTAGAGAAGTAATTTGTGAACATTTATTAACCTTCTACAAAGAAAAAACATTGACCAAAATAAATGTTCACAAATTACTTCTCTACTCCAATTTTGCCTTTCCCAAGATTTCTTTATCTTTAACGATAAAATTTATAGACAACCAGAGGGTTTAGCAATGGGAAATCCTTTATCTCCTCTACTTGCAGATCTTTTTCTAGACTCTCTCGAAACTAACTTTGTTCATTCTCAACCACAAATAATCCTATGGTACAGATATGTGGATGACATTTTAGCCTTTATAGAAGGCCCACCTTCAGAACCTCACAATATTTTGTCAATAATTAATAATCTACATCCTGCAATTAATTTTACCTTAGAAGTAGAAAGCAACAACATTATCAACTTTTTAGACCTAACTATCAAAAAGAATACTTCCTCCTTTTCTTCTTTGCCTACACTAGAATTTTCAATATTCAGAAAACCTACTCAAACTGACCATATGATACCAACATCATCAAATCATCCTTTTCAACACAAGATGGCAGCTATTCAATGTTATGTCCACAGACTTCTTAATATCCCTATGTCTCAAGAAAATTACAATAAAGAAATCTCCATCATTAAACAGATAGCAAACAACAATGGTTTTCCTTCTACTACTGTTGATAAAGTCATTAGAAAATCTATACTCAAAAAGAGACTAAACCAAGCTTTTAATGTTGATAACAAATCCAACACTACTTCCATATATAGATCCTTAACTTACTTAGGACCAATTTCAGAAAAAATTTCAAGAGTACTTGTTAATAAAATTAATGACTTAAACATCTCCTTTAAAACCAAATATAACATCAAGTCCATCTTCAGCAAGACCAAAGACAAAGTTGACAAACTAAACAGAAGTGGTATTTACAAGCTTCCTGTGGTGATTGTAATATGACTTATGTAGGTAGAACAATGAGAACTCTGAATCAAAGAATCAAAGAACACCTCAATAACCCAGAAAAATCAAACTTTGGATATCACATTAAATTTAATAATCATTCTTTTTCTCCTTCTGAAAACAGTAAAATTTTACACAACATTCCTAATAAAAACTTTAGACTCATGAATCTCTTGGAAGATCTAGAGATATCCAAAGAAATGAAAATAAACCCTGATTGTTGCTTAAACACACAAATCAACCTCAATTGCAACTATAAACCTCTTTTTAAATTATTATGGGAGACTTTAGAGGAAGAAGGGTGACCTCATGCAATCTTGTTATATATTTTTCATACTTTTATTTTTTAAACAAATTTTAAACTTTATTAAAATTTACAACATTTTGTAATTCATTTGACAGTTGTTCTTAATTGAAACATGAAAATACATTCTTAAAAAAATTTTTTATGCAAAGTTCTTACAATTTTCCATCAAGACATACAATTCTTAATACACTTAAGTATCAGATAACATAACATTAATACCAGGTTTCTTCTTTATAGTGTTGTTGAACAATTTGAGCCCTTGTTCCTTAAGGATAGCTGTCAGATTGAACATACATTGACCTTGAGCAATGACTTGAGTGAATTTACAAATTAATGTCATTCTGTATGATGTGATGAACACATAAAATTTAATTTTAAAAACTTAATTTTTAGAAAGTCTTTGATGACTAGTAGTAATTCCAAACTACTAAATAATTTTGTAAGAATTTAAAAAACAATCTCTATTTCCTATATATGACATTTGTCACCTGTCACTTTTGAAAAATCGTTTAAAAGGACCGACATTTGATTTCACTAGTTCTATTCAGTCTACATCCTCACATCAATAGATGGTCGGGTCTTAAACCCGTACCATGACAAAAAATTTTTCAATTTTTTTAACGTGTTTGTGACGTCCAGTGTCGACCTTTTATATGTTTTTTTATATGTTTTAAAAATTCCAACTCCTACAAAATCATAATTGTGAAACTTAAGGAAATGAGATCTCTCCTTTGTAGTGGTATTTAAAAATTGACGTAAGTTAAAAATTACAATCTTTACCAATTAGTACTTATTAGAACATTTTATTGTAGCATAGCTCTGATGATGGCTTTGTAAAGCCGAAAGCGCTCAGCTAGGAATTGCCTAAAATATACACACTTCAAAAATACTTTTTTGCATTTTCTTTCGACTTAACTTTAAACTCTTTTATCTATAAATGTCGTAATATGATATAAGGCTTTAAACAGCAGGTTTAGTCCTGTAGGCACAAACGGTTCAAATACAGAATCAGCACGGCAGCCATTCAACAATTTTACCGCATCAATACTACTAGAAAGCAAGGTCTTCGGTGCTATAACAACAAGCCATGGCGAGGATGAATTAATTAGGAGAAAAAGAAGTTTTTGGATTAAGCTCGCATAGAATGGATAATAAAAAAGAGACATATATAAAAAGACAGAGGATCGAAATAAACACAAATTTCTGATATATCCTTACCTATTTTTTTATTTTATACCAGCCCAAGATAGCGAAGATCCACGAGTGATCAGATTATAAAAAAGGAAGTACACGTCGAGATGCATGTCTTTAGCAAATTCATAACATAGTTGTCAAGTCTTGTCCGACAGTTTGTTATAACTGTTTGATTCTTCTTCAAGTTCCACTCCTATCGGAGATTAAGTGTCCAAGCTTCAACTCCATACAAAAGGGTAGAGAAAATATAACATCGAAGCATTCTTATCCGGAGCGATATATTGATATCGCGATTACAAAAAAGTTTTCTCATTCTATTAAAAGTTGACCGCGCAGTTTCAATGCGGCATCTTATTTCTTTTGTCTGATCAGTATCTTCTGTGATCCATGCTCCAAGGTATTTGTGCGAAGATATTTGTTCAATTTGTTCAATTGTTCAAACTGTTTGATACGGAATTTTAACTTTAAATCTACACAGTGGGGAAATTTAATTTAAAAGATGAAAGATAAAGGAAAAAAATCGGTCTCAACCGAATTGACTTACTGCTCCTTGTCTCAATAAATTGCTAGAATTCTTTTATCGCATTTAATAATGTGAGTATTAATCATTTGGTACAAACACTGATATTAGATAATGATAAAATAATAATTTTGTAGAAACTTTTTAATAAATTACAGAAAATTTGTAAAAACTTTGTATATATTTATAAATCGAGTTCCCCATCCGTAGTTTTATTGTAATATTTAGCATCAGATTAATCCGAATCTTCATCAAGATTTATTAATAGATATATCCATGGACGTATAAATAAAGATACGTCCATGGGTATTTCAAACGATATCAAACATTTTCAAATAAGAATTAAAAAAAAATCATCGCATTGTCCCATTACATTGTTTGATTTAAACGTTACGTTTCTTGATGCCACGTAATTTATTAATTCATTATAAATCAATTCGATTGGATTGAGATCAGGATATTAAGATGGCAGTTTTAATATCTCTTGATCATGCTGTTTTGCTGATTGATCCTGTCTGGCGATAGGACGAATCACATATTTTAAAAGCCTGGCTTACTGATTTTGATCAAATCGTAAAGGTTGGGTAGGAGCATGTCATCATCAAATAAAATATTTTTATCTCTTAATGCTGTTTTCGTGTCTTAATTTTTACTACTTCAGTTAGAAGCTTTGTTGGCCTATTTAATATAACATGGTGCGTTGTCCAGAACGAAAGAAAATACTACTGGGTGGTAAATGTAAAGTAATTTTTCTATCAATCGATTTTTATAGTTTTCAGAATTCATTTCGTGGTGATAGTGTTTACTTTTCTTTGTGATATCCATTGTGTTTTCCTTAGGTTGAAACCTTTCACCAAAACATTCTCATTGTGTTAAGACTTAAGATTGATTCATTGAACGATTTAAGCTATGATAACCAGTTCCGCCACGAATTATCGGGAAGATATCTGGCTGAAATCAACCCTCCTGTCGGCAAAAAAATTTTGTTTCAAAACGTCGAGCAAGAAACATGTATTAATAATATATTAGTAATATTTATTATTATTTCATTGTTAAAACAATTTTTTATATTTTTACATTTACATTTACATAAAAGTATTAAACAGTTTTATTCACGATCTTGGGTTCTTTGCTAAAACCATAGGAATTCCCAATAACAATAACCAACACCTAACTGGAAGCATCCAAAATTCCGTATTTCACTTTACAGTTAACAATACATTGCCAGCACCAAAAATTATAAACCGTTGTCTCTTAGAAACAGGTTCATCAGGGAAGAATATTTGCTTATTTTTAGCTTGGTATCTTTTCATTCAACGTAATTAATCTGGGTTCTTCCAACGAAAACCTAAATTACATATATCTTTTCTTAACGTCTCAATACTTCCCAAATAACTAGATTGGTCAGTAAATTTTTTGTGTAGCGAATAGCTATTGGTGATATTTTCTCTGTTATGTGAAAATTAATGATAATGTGACGTGAAGTAAACTTTCATTAAAGGTATTCATTTAATTTTTGACGTCTTTGTTTGTTTTGGCAAAGGAGAAAACACTTTTTCAACATCAACTTAACGAATTTTACCAGGAATTACACGTTCCAAATTACTTCTTGTGTTAGATGATTTAGAATTTATTACTACACTGAAGAAAGTAACAGGCAAATTATCCCGACTTTTTGCCACTGCGCGCGCAGAACTCGCGTCTGCTTACTATCTTAAGCTAGTGTAATTTATACTTCTTCTTACGTTGCCTTATCCTTAAGGACGTTGGCCATTACATTTGCCCATTTAATCCTATTTGTAGCAGCCCTGAATAGTTCTATGGAGGTCATGTTCGTCCATTGCCGTAGGGTTTTATCCAGTTGCGTCTTGGCTATCTGGGTCCTCTTTTGCTATTGACTTTGCCTTCGATTATAAGTTGGAGCAGTTCATACTTCTGATTTCTTATGATGTGACCAAAATATTGTGTTTTCCGTTCTTTTATTATAAGTATAAGCTCTCTTTCCTTATTCATCCTCCGCAAGACTTCCGCATTTGTCGTATGGCTCATGTAGGATATTCTGAGCATTTTACGGTAACACCAGAGTTCGAATGCTTTGATTCTTTTTTGTGTTGCTTCTGTCATTGTCCAGGCTTCAACACCATAGAGCAAGGTGGAGAAAACATAGCACTTAAGTATTCTAGTTCTCAATGAGATGCCCAGCTGGCGGTTGCATAGAACTTTTTGCATTTTGTAAAACATTGTACGTGCCTTTTCCAGGCGTATTCTTATCTCTAGTGAGTGGTCCCAAGTTTCATCAAGATTACTTCCAAGGTACGTTGTTCTTGTTACTCTTTCCGGATCTGTTCCGTCGACATTGACCTTCACCCTTCTGTTTTGGTGCTTGCTGATGACCATCGTTTTTGTCTTCTTTGTATTCAATTTCATTCCAAATTCTCTACAAGCTGTCGTTACTCGGTCCATTAAGCGTTGCAGGGTTTCAGCATTATCTGCCAGTATGACAGTGTCATCAGCATATCGCAGGTTATTTATACATTGCCCGTTTATAATTATACCATCCGAGGTGCCTTCCAAAGCTTTCTGAAATATCTTCTCAGATTACCCAATTTCCAATTGAATCAGCAAAGATGATAGGATACATCCCTGTCTTACTCCCTTCTCGATATTGATTTTTCCAGATGTTTCGCTTTTTATTCTGATTTTAGCCTTTTGTTCTTGGTAGAGGTTTGAAATGATCCTTAAGTCTTTATCGTCGATATTACATGACCTTAAAATATCTATTAGTTTATCATGTTTCACCAGATCAAACGCCTTCTGAAAGTCTATAAAACACAAGTATACATCAGAATCGACATCTCTACATCTTTCAACTAGCACACGTATTGAAAAAAGTGCTTCTCTTGTTCCGAACCCATTCTTAAAACCAAACTGAGTTTGACCAGTGTGTTCGTCTAGTTTATTGTATACTCTATTGTGTATTACTCGTAGGAAAAGCTTCAACATATGATTCATCAGGCTAATAATCCTATGGTCTTCACATTTCTTGGAGTTTCTCTTCTTTGGTAGTGGTATAAACACCGATGTCAGCCAATCATTTGGTATTATGCCTGTTTCGTATATTTTGTTAAATATATCTTCCATTACTTCGATGTGTTCGTCTAGTAATATCTTTATTATTTCAATTGGGATATTATCTTCCCCAACAGCTTTTCCGTTCTTTAACTGATTTGCCGCTTTGATAATTTCTTGCTTTGTAATATAAGGTCCAGTCGATGCCTCCTGCATGTAAATGTTCGTCCTCTCTCGGTCTTGAAACATCTCTTCCACGTATTCTCTCCATCTACCTATTTGATCTTCTATGTTCAGTAGCGGGTTCCCATGTTTATCTTTGATGAAAGAAGTAGGAGTTTATTTAAATATTCCAGCGGCTTCTTTTACTTTTTTATGTAGATTGAAAGTATCATGTCTTTGTTCCAACTCTTCAATTTCTTGGCATCTTTCACTTAGCCAGGTTTCTTTGGCTTGTTGGATCTTCTGATATTCTTGTGTATTTGCTTGTATGTTGTTTCATTTTTACCTCTGTATTTTCTTCTTTCGTCCATCATGTTTAGAATTTCTTCTGTCATCCATGGTTTGTTCTTTTTTCGTGTATCTTGTTTGAGGTAGTCTTCTGTTACTCTTGTAAGTGTTTTCTCAATATAGTGCCATTCTTCATCGGGAGTTTGTGTCGATTGTACTGTTCTGTTACTCAAATGTCTATGTATTTCTTCCCGTATTTTATTACTAGTGGATTCTTCTTTAAGCTTATCTAGGTTAATAGCTATTATTTGCTTATTTCTTTTTGTTGTTTTTTTTAATTTTATCCTAATTATTGCAAAAAGAAGATTGTGATAATTTATACTAGACACTTGAATCCTGATGGGGCTAGAAAAACAAAGAGTTCAATGGAGAAGTAAAACAGTACCGTAAGTTGTGAGCATTTAGCGCTGAGTGCTGCTCATTCATTTGAAAACTAGAAGAAAAAGCGTATATATATATATATATATATTATATATATATATATATATATATATATATATATATATATATATATATATATTAATAGGAAGACCATCAGTAAGAAGACCACAAAAACAATGGAACGACAACTGTCTGAAGGCACATTGAAAAACAGACAAAGCTACTACGCTACTACATAAAATGAGGAATTATATAGCTTCAAACAATATACCATTTTTGGTTTTCTGTTTTGCGAGACATGCCATTACTTTTTTACTTTTATTATTCACTCGCATTATCCTTTTCTATATATATATATATATATATATATATATATATATATATATATATATATATATTTCTATATATATATATATATATATATATATATATATATATATATATATATATATATATATATATAGATGTGTGTGCGTGTGTGTGAATGTGTGTGCTAGATATCCCATTTTTTGGGCTGTAAAAAGGGAGAACATTTATTTCTGACAATTTTTCATGATCTAACATATCTAATAAACTATTTCCGAAAACTTTTTTAGCCATGTATCGTTAGCTATATATTTTTCAAGGAAAATGGTGCTCAAATTCCCTTAGTGACTCACTGAAATCAAAATCAGTAGAAAGTGTGGCTACCAGTCAAGAAACAATTTCAAAAATCTCCAATAAAATTTCCAATATTGAAAGTATAGAAAATTTTAAAGAATCTACGACAACTGTTGAAAATGGAAATAATACCATTGATAATGATGATGATGATGATGATATTTCCTTATTTAGTTGGCCTAGTCACATCAGTACAATAAAAAAGGTAAGACCAATTGTGTACTAAAATAAATAATTATTAAAAAAATAATAAATGGTTAAATTAAAAAAATATATTAAAAACTAGTTAATCCTCTACTCTTAGGAGTGTAACGCATTCGAGGTTTTTGAATAGTAGACTTTCGAAATGTTTCTCTCCAACTGCTTCCTCGCCTCTTCAGGGCCTTATCAATCTCGCTATTCTACGTCTTTGTTGGTCTGCCTTTTCTTCGTTTTTTACTACTGCTTGCCATTCTTGCCTCAATTTCCTATTACCATTCATATGGATCATTGGACCGAACCACGCAAGTTGTCTTTGTTCGACTTTGTCTAAGACCAATTGTTTGTTCCCGTCTAAAATCGTTTCTCAATCTATTGCTTTTTGTCACTTCTAAAACCGCTCTAAGATTTTACACGATTGTATCGTACTTTTGTGCTTGTCACTTAAAGTCTAAGTTTATGAGCCGTATAGTAACACGTGCACGTATACACTGTTAAATACTTTTATTTGGATGCTGATACCGATCTCCTTTCTTTGAATAAATGGCTTGTTTACTTTAGTACTTTAGCCTTTAGTCGCATTAGAAACTTTAGTCGCATTCGTTGCTCTGTTATCGATTTCTGGTTAATTTTTTTTGCGTTTACAGTCCAGCTTAAATATTTAAATTTAGCTTGCTTAATTTGTCTTTGATCTATTCTGGCATCACTCTCTTCAGTCTTCTTGAAAACCTAATCTTAGTTTTGTCTAGACGATTTTCCTTTTGTATTTATTAAAACATGCATTCGAAATTTGCAAACTTTTTTGTAGGTAGTGACAGATACTCTTTTAATTTTTTACTTCTCATTTAATGTCTATATTTTGTTAGGTGTTTTCCATGTAGTTTTTAATTTAAACCTGCGTAGAGTAAATATATGATGACTAGAAACAAATTGATCGAGGGGAGTGAATCGATGTCAATAACCGCTATTCTATGACGCTACCAGTGATGACGCCATTTTGTGGTGCTAGTTCCGTGACGCTCGCCTCAGCATTTTACTGCAGAGAAAAAAATTAATACAACGTCGGTATAGAAGCTTCTCTTCAAAAATACACAGTGGACGAGGGTGCAAGATAGATAGAAATAATAAAACAAAGATATTAATATTATAACAGAAAACAGAATACTTAGTAGTACAGAGTACTTAGTAACTTTACACTAAATTTTGTGCAATTGATTGATATAATAAAGTTTTAGTATATTTATTAAAACTATGTGTTATTTTGATTTCAGATTGTATGGATAATAAATTGGCCAATAAATTGCGCATTCTTCTTCACAGTTCCCAATTGTGAGAAATTGAAATCAAACAAATGGATTCCAGTTGCATTTATATCATGTATTGTATGGATTGGTGTTCTTTCATACCTTTTATCATGGATGATAACAGTCATAGGTAAGCAGTAGTAATATAAGATATTTGTTTAGTATACATTTACTTAATATTAGTATTGTCAGCCTCCTTTAAATGTTTGGCACATTTATGTCTGTTTAACTAATAAAGTTAGGTTATGAGCATTTACCTTTCATCAAAGAAGACTTTATGGGAGGACTAAATTGATCAGACGCGACGCATACCATCTAGGTGACAATTATTAGTAAAATAATCTATCTATGTAAAAAGCTAGGACAACAAGTCACACTGTTTGTTTGGTATGATACCTACATTACTTGAAAAGAAAAGTTTTTTTTAATATTAATTTTAGTTAATATCCATAAGGAAGGTATTAGCACTGGCAGGTATTCTTCGCTCGTATTAATTTCTTTGTTTCTTCTTCTTCAAGTGCCCTGTCCGTTGCGAACGTTGGCTATTAACATGGCAATTTTGATCTTGTTTGCGGCGCTTCTGAATAGTTCGACCGATGTGAGCCCGAACCACTTCCGCAGATTTTGGAGCCACGGTGTCTTCTCCTGCCTGGCCCTCGCTTACTGTCTATTTTTCCCTGGACAATCAATTGTAGCAGACGGTACTTATCGTGTCTCAATATGTGGCCTAGATATTCAAGCTTTCTTTGTTTAATTGTATTCACGATCTCTTTCTCCTTTCCGATTCTTTGGAGTACCTCTATGTTGGTGACATGTTCGGTCCAGGATATACGAAGAATGCGTCGGTACACCCACATTTCGAATGCTTCTAGTTTCCTCGTTAGCGTCTCCGTCAGCGTCCAGGCCTCCACGCCATACAGCAAGATCGGAAAAATGTAGCATTTAACTAGACGTAGTTTTAGGGGAAGAGACAAATCCTTGCTTATGAGGAGCTTTTTCATATTGCTAAATGCTGCTCTAGCTCGTTCTATTCTCGCCTTAATTTCTATGGTCTGTTCCCATTTTGCATTTACGTTGGTGCCAAGGTACACATAAGATTCTACATGATCAATTAGTATGTTACTTATCCGTAATTGTCGAGCAGGTTGTTGCTTTTTGCTTATCAGCATCCACTTTGTCTTCTTGAAGTTGAGGCTCAGGCCGTATTCCTCACTAACTGAATAAAGTCTTTCCATTACTTGTTGTAATTCGTCTATGGTACTGGCAAGGATCACCGTGTCGTCGGCATATCTTATATTGTTCGTTAACTCGCCGTTTATTTTTATGCCCTCATTTGCATTTTCCATACATTTGTTAAATATTTCCTCGGAATACATATTGAATAGGAGTGGGGATAATATACACCCCTGACGGACACCTCTTTTGATCTGCACGCTTTCAGTAAGTTCGTTGCCAATTTTTGCTCTTGCTGTTTGATTCCAGTATAGGTTTGCCACAATTCGAATGTCCTTGTCGTCAATACCTGTCTTTCGCAGAATACCTATCAATTGTTCATGATTGACATTGTCAAATGCTTTTCTAAAATCTACAAAGCACAAATACACGTCCTTATCAACGTCTCTACACCGCTGTATAAGCACTTGGAGAGCGAAAATTGCTTCTCTAGTTCCAAGTGCTTTCCGAAAACCAAACTGCGATCTATCAATATTTGACTCACATTTATCATATATTCTTCTATGAATGATCTTAGTGAACGCTTTAGTGACATGATTGATCAAGCTTATAAGCCGGTAGTCATCACAAATCTGGGCATTTGGTTTCTTCGGGATTGTAATAAATGTTGACTGTAGCCAGTTCTCCGGGATTTTACCGCTATTATATATGTTGTTAAAAAGTACAACTAGATCATCAAGGAACTGTTTGTCTGATTTACATAGGATCTTTAATATTTCGCAGGGTACATTGTCCGGACCTGCTGACTTATTGTTTTTTAGTGCTGCAATAGCATCTTCTATCTCCGATTTAAGGATTGAAGGTCCTGTTTCTCCTTCTCCATATAGGTGATCATCAGTCCTGTCAGATGCAAATAATTTTTCTATGTATGATTTCCATATTTTTAAGATCGTTGATGGCTCCGAGATAAGATTTCCATCGCTATCTTTTATGCTGTTGGGATGACTTATTGAATTTCCTCTTGTTTGTCATCGATTTTATTTTTTTGTGCATATTGTAACTGTCGTATTTTCGTTCGTATTGTTCTATTTCCCTGCATTCGTTGGAAAACCATTTTTCTTTGGCTTCTCGAATTTTCGTTCTTATGGTTTTGTGGATCTGCTGGTATTTTTCTGCATTTTTATTTCTTGAATTTACGTCTTTCATCCATCATATCCATTATCTCATCAGACATCCATTCTTTCTTCTTCCGTCGGTCACGCTTTAATAGAGTCGCGAATGTTGTTTGGATTGCTTCCCTCGATTTATCCCATCTCTCTATTATGTCCGACGTGTTCTCGTTAATGTCCTTTATTTTCTTTCCTAGTTGTTCTCGTACTTTTATTTCGGTTTCTGGGTTAGTGAGTTTTTTAATATCGATTGTGTTTAAATTAGATCTTTTCTCGAGCCTTTTTACTCTCATGACCATTCTGCATACCAACAAATTGTGGTCCGTAGGAACATCGGCACCTGGGTACGTTTTTGATGATTTTATCATGTTTTTATATCTTGTTGGTACTGCTATATAATCTATCTGATTCCTAATGATGTTGTCAGGTGAGTCAGCTGGGGATTTCCATGTGTAAAGTCGACGTTTGGGGAGCTTGAAGAGAGTATTACTTAACAGCAGGTTATATTCCTCGCAGAAGCATATAAGTCTATCACCTCTATCGTTTCTCTCCCCTCGGCCGAAGTTTCCCACGATCTCATTCACCTTGCCTCTGCCAACCTTTGCATTGAAATCTCCCATCACTATTGTTACTTCATGTTTTTTTGTCATTTTCATCAGGCTTCCCAGTTGTTTCTTTGTTTGAATTGTCAAATTTGATTATCCAAATGATCCAAATAAGACGGATTGTAAATCTTTACTTGGAAAATAAAAAAAATGTTAAATTTGCTTTCAACCTAATTAATGGTTACATTCTCTCTCTTTTCGTCTCTGTCTCTCTCTCTCTTCTTAGTCCTGACTCCCTGGAGGGAGTGTAGTGGTCATCATGATGTCGTGTATTGTCCGCCTCTGGTCATTTCTGTTAACTCATGCGTAGTAATTTGCATATCTCTTTATTTTGTTTGATCCATCTTGTTGAGGATCTTCCTCGTAATCTTTGGATAATAAGTTTTATCATGTTTTCTGTGTCTGCTTTCAAAACATTTCCACAGTAAGGTAATAGTTGAAGATGGACTTTGCTGGAAAGCCGCTTGCTGACTTCTAGCTCGTTTAAAATTAAATTATTTGTGCTTTGGTTCAGTGATATTAACGTTATAAAATTCATATAAATTAAGATATCGGTTTATAGCTGGCAAAAGTATGATTACAGTTGGTTCATACTCTATTAATATAATAATATCGCGTGCATAGGTTAATACCAGTAGTAGCATACTTATTTATTGTTTTAGGTGATACATTCCAGATACCAGATTCAGTGATGGGTATATCATTTTTGGCTATTGGTGCTGGAGTTCCAGAAGCAGCTTCAAGTATAGTTGTTGTAAAGAAAGGTGAGAATTAATAATTAAGTCTTCAAATATTTGCTTCCTCTGAGAAGTTGACATAAATTTGGATGTGCTTTTTTTCTGAAAATATGATATATAAAGTAAAAAATTGAATTATGTGTCTGACGTAAATTTTAGTGACAAGGAAAACCCATATTTCACTATTAAACTACATGCCAATGGGAAAATTTTAATGGGTAGTTGTACCCAACATGAATCACATATAAAGCAAAACTAAAAAACTTAAATATTTTATAACTCCTTTAGAAATAAGGCCGTCAAAAAATCTTGTCATTAGTCATTACAGGTGAGTCATAGGTAAGGGGGAAAAATTGTACGGCAGAGAAAATTTTTTATTTTCGAAAAACTTTTTTCCCATTTTCGACCATTTGGCATAGTACGGTATTTATACACAAAGTTTTGGATCGGTATATGGATTAATTTTTTTACAACGCCACATATTTCGAATAGAATAGTGTGAAAAATCCAAGGCGCAACCCTTAATTTCCACCCCCATTTTTTAAGTACCGATGAGAATTGGCGGCATAGTTTCTAATGTAGTATTAATTTATATATGATTCATGTTGGAGTATACAATTCTCTAAACCCATATATGGGCCATTTTTAACAAAATATTTCATATTCTTGTGAAAATGAAACAGTTTTTGACAATGTTGATAGGACAAGGTCTTAGAAGTTCCAAACTATTTTTTTTGCAACTATTCCCACAGATTTTTTCCTAAAATATGCCGTGGGATTCATATCTATAATATGCTCTTTATTTATAAGTATCATATGGTCTAATTTCCACAATATTTTTGAAGCAAAATTTTACCAGCGTTCACTTGTCACTGGCTTTAAAAATCTTTAAGTAGTTTTCAATTCCATTAATTTTCCATTTTAAACATGTTATCTCATTTTACTTTTCTCATACTTGTGTTTATATAAACTTGATGGAGTCTAATTCAAATTATTAAGGACAAAAACATAAATCACAAAAAATCCACTAGGAAACTAAGTTCCTGTAGCTGGCTGTATATCACAAAAAATTTATTTAAAATCCTTTATAAAAGGTATATAATAAAATGCCCAAACGGGCTATCACAAAAATATTGCAAAACGTTTTCGGATTGTTAAACCCATCATCAGTGCAAACGAGGTATACATGCTATGAGCCACCAAAATATATGGGTCAAAACCCTTTAAATGATTTAAATTTACATTTGCTTTACATTATACCTAAGTGGTTACAAATTATGATGTTTAAGTTACCGTTGGAATTGGTAACATGGCGACGTATGACCCTACATAGGTAAAATGGTCTTGAGACGAAGTGTCTTCGAGGACCTGTTGATAACAACTCGAAGACACTTCGTCTCAGGACCATTTTACCTATGTAGGGTCATACGTCGCCATGTTACCAATTCCAACGGTAACTTAAACATCATAATTTGTAACCACATATAATGTAAAGCAACTGTAAATATAAATCATTTAAAGGGTTTTGACCCATATATTTTGGTGGCTCATAGCATGTATACCTCGTTTGCACTGATGATGGATTTACCAATCCGAAAACGTTTTGCAATATTTTTGTGATAGCCCGTTTGGGCATTTTATTATATACCTTTTATAAAGGATTTTAAATAAATAAAACACAAACTTCTTTTCTATCTTTTTTTTTTAATTGTATACAGTAGAACCTCGCTAATTCAATCTCAATGGGATCAGAGAGTGGGACGGAACGATCAAAAGGACGGATTAATCGTAAAAATAACTATATATTGTATATAAAATAAGACATCTTTTAAAAACTGGGTGGTTTTTTGCCGTAACCCGTTTTCTCATTATTTTGCTGCTTCATCGCTCCTTTAAGCAACAAAATATCTCTAGATTTGCAATCCTCATCAACTTCGACGTATCTTAAACCGATCTCGAAGGTTTCCATGCAGAGGCATGTGTGATTTTAGGATTTTATGTTTCTCCTCCAAGTTTTTCCTCCTTTTCTACATTTTCTTCTGATGTGGAAGCGGCTGATATTATTTCCTCACAATCAGGGTAATTGTCGTCAATATTATTCCGACATTCTTTAACGTCGCTGGTTTTTATAGCTGGATTTAAAATTTGAAAGTCCTTGTCAATTTTCAATATTGTTAGATCTTCTACGTTGTCATTAGTTTCATTGATGTTCATGATGGTCGGCCAAAGCTTGCGCCACGATTTTTTCGGTGTTTCAGAAGAAATTTCGTTCCATGCTGAAGATAGTATACAAATTACCTCTTTGACTGTAACTTTTTTATGGCCTATATCAGATCTTTAGTCTCCTGTTTGCAAATGGATCCAACCAATTTCCTTCGATATACATTTTTTATGCATTCAATTACTTCTTGATCCATAGGTTGAATTCATGAAGTCATGTTTGACTCTATGAACAGCGATTTTGTTCTATCAGAAGTTAAAATACTTTCACCTGGATGCGACGGTGCTTTGTCAAGAAGCAAAACTACTTTTTAAGGCAGATTTTTTGATTTTAAAAGTTAATAAACAGTCGAAACGGATTCAGTTTGGAACCACTTTTTAAAAAGAGCAAAAAAAACTTACAGTAACTTGTGGGCTTGTCTAGCTTTATTTTTGATTTACCACGTACAAAGTCATTGACTGAAACCATAATCATACTGTAATTAATATTACTAACCAAAGATACTTTTGTTTTCAAATAATGCTCAAATATACCCTATTCTTTAAGGTCTCGTTCCTAAATACTTTATGAAGTGGTGAAATCGCAGGTCTTCTCTCTTAATAAAATTCTTAAAACGACAAATTTGATTTGCCACTTAAACTTCAATACTCTGATCGGCAGCTAATTACTTTGATTCTCACACTGGTCTTAATGTAAAACTTCGAAGAAACTCCTACTTGTGATGAGTAAAATAAACATTTTTGATTTTATTCCAAGAGAACTAAAGTGCTTCTATTAGGAGATCTTGAGATGTTTGTAAAAAATATTTCTTCGAATATGTAATTGAAACAAGCAAATCCAAACTTTATATAGACTCGAATGAAAGTTACTGTTTTTTGAATTAAATTAAATTTCAAAGAAATATAAATATTTTTAAATGGTTACAATGGAATGTAAGAAGCATGTACGAAATTGAAAATTTAAGCAATATCGAACAGAAGCTATACAAAAAAAAACTTTTTAACCAATGTGTTTTATCCGTTCCCACATATTGTGCAGAAACACTAACTCTGACGAAAAGAACAATGCATAAAATAAGAGTTTTACAAGTGATAAAAAGGTCAATGTTGCGCATTAGCATCAGAGATAAAGTACCAAACCTAAAAATAAGAAGAAGAACAAGAGTTACGGATACCGTTGAAAAAATAGCCATGGCCGAATGAAGTTAGGCCACACATGTTGCCAGACTGACGGATGATGGATGGACTAGAAAGATTCTGAAATGACGACCAAGACAAAAGGCATAACAAAGCAGAGGACGCTCACCGACTAGACGGTAGGATGGTATAAAGCGCATCGCCAGGAATTAAAAGCTGAAGATAGAAATAAGCGGAATATTTACAGGAGGCCTAAGTTCAATGCTGGATAAATATGGGCTAATTTATAATGATAATTCCTTGGTAATATACGAAAAGAAAACAATCTTACTCTTAATCATATTTTATCAATCATTCTTTGACTCGTGACAAAAATCTGAATACTGCGCTAAGACTGAGGTTTGGTGAATGTTACGTCTGGTTCCAACTATTGTACGGGGTAGAAACATGGACGTTAAAAGCGCAAATAGTTAAGAAGCATGAAGCCTTTGAACTTTGGATATACCGGAGAATGTTGAGAATTTCATGGAATGCCAGGGTCACCAATCAGGAAGTACTGAGAAGCACTTCCTTACTGGTGAAGATGAGTCGAGACAAAAAATTGTTGAGAACAATAAAAGTATGCAAGACTGCATACCTTGGACACATACTGAGGAATGATAAATATAGTCTTGTGCAGGTCATCATGCAGGGTAGAGTCGATGGCAAAACGGGAATAGGTAAAAAGAGGAAGTCATGGCTGCGAACTATTCGAGACTGGACAAACATGACTGTAGACGAATTATTCCACGTTGCAAAAGACAAAGAAACTTTTAGAAATGTGGTCGCCAACCTCCGTTAATGGAGACGGCATTGGAAGAAGAAGAATGACTGTTTAAAATAAACATTTCTTAAAAATGTATTTATATATTTTCATTCGAGAGAATTATTTTAATAGTTGATCCTAATGTATTTTTAGGTAAAGGTGCTATGGGAATAAGTAATGCATTAGGTTCCAGTACGTTGGACGTACTTCTATGTTTAGGACTTCCATGGTTACTGAAATCAACATTGGTATCTACGCAAAAATGGGTAAGTAATACTGGGCTATCATTTCATAATATTTATATCGCTTATTTAATTTTAATTATAACTGTTTGAGTTTAAATAATAATCTTGAATTGTGTCTCTGGTGAATACACCTGGTGTATGTGGTGAATACACCATAAAAACACTCATAAAAATTGTGTTATCTTGCATTTAGATTATATAGCCAAATTTATAAATAAGTGCAACCCCTCTGTGGCTCAGTGGTAAGAGCGCCTACCTTTAAACCTAAAGGCGTGAGTTCGAACTCATCTGGTGGAGAATTTCGTTTATTAAAAATTAATGAATAAAAATAATTTCTATCCTTGTGCGATCGGTACTCACCGGAGGGACCGCAGACGTTCGGATACAATTAGCGCCTCTTAGCAAAGACAATGACGTCGACTTTGTTAAGTATTAAGACAATTACTCTAAACAGACACAACCACACATACTACACTAGGTACCTGACTGTACCATGCCAATGATCTTAGTTGTCGAGGCATTAACTCAATAATAAAAAATATAAATAAATGCTTAATAACGGAGAATCGAATACTGTAAAATGGAAAGTTATTACTACGTGTTACGTGTATATCCTGTAACCTACGGCCAAATTTCATTAAAATTACCCCTCAATAATTATTATTTTCTAAAACACAGTGGATACTCATGTTTTCCTCTGTCCCTCCATCTCCTTTATCTCTAGCTTTGCCTTCCTCTAACCACGTGTCTTGTAGATCTGCAAAATAATTCTAATCCTAAGTGGTTTGCCGTAAACTTTTTTCTAGCAATAGATTTTCTAGCTTGGAGTGTGACTGATGATTCCTTTAATCGCCTGAAATCATTTGAAATAATTCATGGGTATAGTATTTTAGACCTAGTATATCACTCTGGAACGAATTGTAAGAATTTCGTAAATTCTGACATCCATAAAATCTTAAACGTAGTGTATTTCTGACACTTGGTTTAAAATGATATAATATAGTTTCCTACAATTACTAGCATAGGGTAAAATCAATGGTCCAATACATGCAGATCGACAAACGAACATCGTGCATAAAATACCTTCGGTAATGGACTAAATCAATTTTAACAATCTTAAGCAATAGGTGGAATACCACCCACCAAATTTTTCTGATAAAATTAATTGGATCAACGGGATTACAAGCATTCAAAGAGGATAAGTACTGTAAAAAACATGCGTTGAATAGTGTGAGGCACACAAAATGAACTAGATCGCGTTGCTCAGAATCGAACGGAAAGTGGGCGTGGTTCTTTGGATATTTCCTTTGATACACAAACTAAAGATAAACAAAATTGGGAAAAAAGAACAGAAAAGAGTACAAAATAATAGCTAGGTACTAGAGCTTAACCAGAAATACTAAATGAATCGATCAAAGAAACAAATAATAATCTTATTGCCGAAAGGTTGCCAGCGATTTTTTCTTTATACCTTCTAAAAAATTGAAAAAAAAGACAAGATATAGAAGAAAATAAAATTTTAACGAAATCATATGAGGCGCTCCGTGGACAAACGGCGAATACGCCAAATGGGCATTTTGAGAAAAACGCGATTAAAGTTGAAAAAGTGTTTTTAATTCAATAAGGGCGAATATACACGTCATCAAAATTTTGTAATGCGGTTAGGTAAAAACTATTTTTTTATAAAAAGTTTTGCTTGTTAAGCAAATAAGATCACCCCATCTAAACCAAAATTATAATTCAGGATATTGAAAAAAGTTTTATTCAAAGGATATGATATGAAAAACATTTTTTAATTAAAAATTGTTCTGTTTAAGATAAATCAAAAACTAAAAAAACACCAAACAATAAATTATTAATTCAAGCAAAAATCCATAACATCATCCTGACTTTCTCCAGTTAGCGTTGCCAAATTGGTTTGTGATTCTTGGAGAGAGATCAGCTCATCAAAGAAACTCCTATGATGAAGCGGTATGTATGGAAGAAGTGACTTGATGTCTTTTATTTTTCCTCTGAAAGTTTTATAGGCTGTTGGTATTTAGGAGACAAAACTGCGGCAGATAAATCAAACAAATGGCGTTGATATTCTCCTACTTTTCCTTTCTGCAAAACAACTTGTTCGGACAAAACATTTTGGTACGTTGGTTGTATGGAAAACCCTTGTTTGAACAACTTGGAGTAAAGAAATACTTTACCATCTTTAAAACTAGCAGTTGATTTTCTTTTTGTTATTAACTTCTGAAGAGCAGTGAAATCAAAAAACATTGATGATGTCATTTTTACTACTTTGAATGGTCTGACCTTCCTTGATGAACGAATTAAGTCAATATAGTGGTCTTCAGAATAAACATCAATATTTCGAAGCCTTAACTCAATGTGACCAAAATCCCTGTCACAAGGTAAATATGAATGTCCAGGAATCATAAAGTAATGTTCTATGAAATCAAATTTTAATTCATGAATTTTTTTCAAACAAGCTAAAACAATGTTCATATTTTTGTTCTGGCCGCCACAATTGTCACTAAATAGCACAACTTTTTTGACTTGATGATCCATAGAATCAAAGTAATGGGACAAGCAGCTTGCTATTTCACATGAACCACGACCTCCAGTACTTTCATTCCACATGTACATAACACATTTTCCAGATTTAACATCATGGACTGCAAAATTGTAGGTCCAAAGCTTCCTTTTGTAATACTGTACAGATGTCGTCAGTTTAGGGGTAGGGAGAGTTTGCTGCAGATCTATACAAATTGCTGAAACTGAGTCTTCATTATTACTTTTATAACTTTTAAGTATTTTTTGAACTGCTTTGGCTCGTCTTAAATGAAGTTCCTTGGCAACTTGTAATTGGTTACGTTGTAAATCATCACAATTTGAAAGTTCCATATCTGTTTTGTCACAAAAATTACAAGTATCCGACTTAGGAGGGTTGAAACCAATATTGAATTTTTTATTAAATGTGTCACGATAGAACCGTGAGCTGACAGGTTCAATTAAAGGGTGATTTTCTGTCATCCACTCACAGTACAGGTCATACAACTTGTTTATGTTTAAGTCTGTGGAAAGGTACTTTCGGTAAGGGCTTTTTGCTCTGCTGTAATGGCTTGAACATTTGGGTAAACTATTTACATGTAACATTACAGTTTCTTTCATTTCTACACTTACTTTGTTAACTGGATTTTTATTTCCTCTTCTGTCCAATTCTACAGTGCCACTTGTGGATACTTTATTCAAAACAGTTCGAACCCTCTTTTCAGTGACACCATGAATCGCATAGAATGCTTTTCTGCAGACTTTAAATTCATTGCTTTCAAAAAGTACACTGTACTCAATACTACGTAACTTTCGACTAGGTCGATTTTTAATGCGACAACGGTTGACAGAAACAGATTTCACTCTTTTAGATAAGTAAGTGTTTTGTAGGTTATACTCAGATAATTCCCAAAAGTTTTTAAAAATTATACTAATTTTCTCCAAACCTACTTTCTCAAAACATCCACAGGAACAGGGACTTCCCACAGTCCGCTTAGGCACAAGTTTTCTGTTTTTAATGGTGCTGTATTCTTCACCTGAGTTTCTTTTAACTTTATTCACATTCTTTTGCCACGTGTCTTCAGTTTTCGACCTTTTTCTAGTGTAGCCTTTGTTTTGGTCTTCTGTAAACTCGCTTTCTGACATTGTAGCAGTAAAATTTTAACTTTATTAGTAAAGTAACTCAAACTATTCAAACTAATCAAAATAAAAACTACTTGTTTTGACAAGCAAAACGACACTGTAGCTTAAAACGGTAAAAATAAGACGGAAATCACGGAAATTTTATTCAGAAATTTGGCAAGACAGAAGTGGGAGGGCTAGCTGTGTACCGACGTAGCGGTGGCGTATTCGCCGTTGTTCCACGGAACATTTACCATACTTTTTAAGATTCATACAGTTTGCTTCCGTTAAGTCAACCTATTATAGTTCTGAATAGAAAGGACGAATAAACCATGTTATGGTGGTACATTGTTCGAATAATGATCAGGCTATCCATTGCATTAAAAAAAAACTGTAACTGGCGTATTCGCCCTTTTTCCTCGGAGCGCCTCATATAATGTATAAAAATTTTAAGACATTATCTAATACTTTAATAAAATGTAAAGAAACAGCTACATTGCATAAATACGTTTATTTTGCAGCAATAATTTCTGTAAGTTTCTCTTAAGTTTCTAATAAGTTAAGTTTAAATTAATTAAATTTTCCTTATTCTTACATATTTTCATAAAGTAGTTACTTAAGAAAGAAATGAAATATCATAATTATTTAACATTTTACAAAAATTATTATCTTCTCAAAGTTTAAAATATGGAACTAAAAAAATAATAATTTATAACGATTTAACATTATGTTAATAAAAAATTATGTGAGATGTAAACTTTCAAACAATTATGTGATTTAAATTTGTAAACTTTCTTTTACCTATGATGGGATTGTCCATAAATTTAATAAGAAATGAAGTACTTATCTAGATGTTCCATTGTTACATCGGTTAGAAAAGAACAAAATTGCCTCTATGGTATGTGCATCAAAAGTTCTACGCAAGAAGAGGTGTAGTAAACTATGAAATAAATACATATATCCATAAATTGGAAATCCATAAATTATTAATTTTTTTTGGAAAAGAATGCTGTGAGTTCCTTAGACCGACCATATTTAATTTTAAATGAGCTACAAGTCAGCTAACGGCTATCCAGCAAAGTCCATTTCCAATGATTAAAGTACTTTGGATATGTTCTGAGAGCAGACACAGAAAACAGGTAAAGTCTTGGAAATGACCAGAAACAAAGATCTTTGGAGACTGACAATACTTGACATCACGATGTCCACTACACTCCCTCCATCATAAATTATAAATCCATAAATTAAAAATCAATAATTCCAGCAGAAGGCATATTAACGAAAATAGACAAAGATGCTATATATTCAAATATGTGTATTTTTGGTTCTGCAATCAAGCTGAGAGAAAAGGTATGTTAGTGTCTTTTTAACACTAAAATTTGTGAAAAAATAAAAAAGCATACCTAGTAGGCTGAGAGAAGCACAACTGAGAGAAATATTCCTCTTTTTACCGCGTTTTGGTGTGAAATGAAAACGTGAAATCGGTTTTCTACCGAAATGACGCTAGATTGACATCGCTTGATCTCTCTTTAACCAATCAGATAAATTCCATAGGACGCAGTTTGAAAACGATAATTGCTTGCAGTAACTTAATTAAATTTATAAGAGGAAGCAAATAAAACCCAAGGAAAATTGAATACAAACCTTCAGAAAACACTCTTTGTTAGATACGAAAATCCTTGCACCTTGAATGTTGACAAATAGGCAGTCGGTTTTTTTCATTAAATATTTTAAAGTAACATTTTTTTGCAGGTTAATATAAACTCTTCAGGGCTGCAAATCACGACAATTACTTTGGTAATAACACTCCTCGCATTTTATTTCGCCTTGATGGCGAACAAGTTCAGATTGGATAAATGGGTAGGATTGTACTGCATGGTGATATATCTGTTATTTGTAGCTCTAGCAAGTATGATTGAGCTTAATGTCTTCATGGAAGTAAATTTACCTACGTGCCTCAGGTGACCAAGATTGATATTTTGTTCTAGGGCCAAGATTTTATTGAAATGTATATAGTTTTATATTTGTACATAACTTTGTATTAGTTTGTATTTATCATGTTGAAGATTAACGTGTCAATTTTTGTTATGTATAATTTTTTAAATACAATACCAAGCATATAAGATATACTACTTTATTTAATCATGTAAATTTAAAACAATAACATTCCCGAAACGTAATAGTTGCTATAATTTGGCTACCATCCCATATTGGCATAGCACGAAATGAAATTTCAGATTACTACGCAAAACTTGCCACTGTATTATCTGGCATTACGAATAGTATACAAATTTGCAAGGATTTAAAATATCCTATTAAAAGAGAAACCTTGAGGAGTGCAGCAGCACTCTAATATTAAGAGCCGAGCTCTACAGTATATCCAACGTTCGATAAACAGCCATCCTACATTTGGCTCTATAGGCCTCACAAGACTAGATACACAAGTTATTCTTCTTTGTCAACCATTTTCCATCCACCCTTGAATGTAGGTCTCTCCCAATTGCTTTCATCTTTCTCTATCTTGCGCCAATCTAATCCACTGTTTGCCTGCCACTGCTCTTATGTCATCTACCCATCTTTTTTGAGGTCTTCCCATGCTTCTTGTTGTCGTCCTTGGTCTCCATTCTAGAATTCTCCGTGTCCACCTGTTGTCATTATATCTGGCTACGTGACCTGCCCAGCGCCATTTCATTTTTGTAATTTCTTCCACAATATCCCTAATCTTTGTTCTACGTCTTATCTCGGTGTTTCTAATCTTGTCTCTTAGTGATATTCCAAGCATGATTTGTTCCATTGCTCTTTGCGTTGTTTCTAATTTTTTAGCAGATTTTTTGGTAAGGGCTACTGTCTCCAAGCCGTAGGTACAAACTGGTAGTATACATGTGTTATACACCTTTTTCTTTAAGTTTATAGGAATGGAGGTGTTTTTCCAGATATGTGCTAGTTTGCCGAATGCGCCCCATGCCAGTTGTGTTCTTCTTTTAATTTCAGCATCTTGATTTGGTTTTCCTAGTTTGATAACATGACCTAGATATACATAATGTTCAACATTTTCTATGGTATGATTTTGTATTGTTATATTTGTCTGATCTCGGCTCAGTATTTTTGTTTTGCTGTAGTTCATTTTTAAGCCTACCGCTCCTGAAACTGCATTTAATTGTTGTAACATATCATTTAGTTCTTGGATATTATCGGCTATTAAAACTATGTCATCTGCGAATCTTAAGTGGTTTAAGTATGATCCGTCGACGTTGATACCCTTATTGTTCCATTCCAGTTTCTTAAAAATATCTTCTAGAGCAAGGGTAAATAGTTTGGGAGAGATGGTGTCTCCTTGTCTTACTCCCCGTTGTAGTCTTATGGGATTAGTTTTTGTGCTTTCGTCCAGCTTTATATGCATGGTGGCATTTTCATATATGTTTTTAATTATGTTAGTGTATCTTGAATCTATGCGTGCATTTTCTAGAGATTCAAGCACTGCCCATAATTCGATGGAGTCGAATGCTTTATGGAAATCGACGAACGCCATATGAATTGGAACATTATACTCAGTGCATTTTTCTATCAGTGTTCTTACGGTGTGCAAGTGGTCTATGGTATTAAAATGTTTTCTGAATCCAGCCTGCTCGATAGGTTGATAGAAATCGAGCTTATGTGTTAGGCGGTTGGTTATGATTTTAGTTAATAATTTATACAGATGTGATAGCAAGGATATTGGTCGGTAATTCTCGATGTTTGCTTTGTCTCCTTTCTTGAATAGTAAAATGAACTTCGAGTTGTACCATTCTTGAGGAATCTTTCCTTCATCAATTACTTTATTAAATAAAACATTTAATACCTGTTCCATTTTCCTGCCACCAATTTTCAACATTTCAACTGTAATATTATCCTCTTCCGGACATTTATTCATTTTAAGTTGATTTTAGTTATTAGTTATTAGGCAAGTGGTTTTGTATAGATCACTCTTGTTGGGGATATCAGTCTGAACTTATGCTATACAACTTATGTAGATTAGAGTTTTGCTGTAGTCATAATATTGTGTAGTTGCTAAGTTCATGCCGTATTTTACGGGACATATTTCCAGGCCACCATTCTAAAGGCAGACGAATGATTCTAAAGCCATCCTGAAGAAATACAACATCAGGTATGTGTGATGCATAATTTGTATGCCTTAAACCACCTAGTCGATAGGGATAGCCAGTATTTATTGGTGATAAATACGCTGTAGAAGCGTAGATGTTGGTACCTGTACACTGAATAAAAGCCTTTGGGCCAGAGGTTAGTACGTAGCCATAGTGTAATTCTAATTTTTGTTTGCTATAGAAATTGAATTATGCACCTTACGTAATTTTAATTTTTGTTTATTTACAGTTGCTAGGGAAATTGACTTATTCCTCTTACGTAATTTTGAGATTTCAGGTTCATTTATTAGTTTATGATTTAATTTATGTGTTAGTTAAATGTACAGGCAGATATTCGAATATGTTTTTTTTTTGCGGTTTTCATTTTATTCAATTGTTTTTAATAAGTTGGTGTTCGTGGTTATCTTCTTCGCCATTGATGTTCTCCACTTTAGGGACTTTGGAATAGATCGCTGGATACCTCCGCTGGTTTCATTGTAATCACTCTGTTAAGTGTTTATGTTCGTTATGTCTATACCAATTTTAGTTTTAACTGTAAGCAGTACCTAGTGGGTTTTCGGTTCTTCGTTTTTTTATTGTTTTTATTTTCTACAGCGTTTAACCTGTCCTCGTGTGATACTTATAATTTGAAAATTTTAATAAGTTGGTGTTCGTGGTTATCTTCTTCGCCATTGATGTTCTCAACTTTATGGACTTTGAAATAGATCGCTGGATACCTCCGCTGGTTTCATTGTAATCACTCTGTTAAGTGTTTATGTTCGTTAGGTCTATACCAATTTTAGTTTTAACTGTAAGCAGTACCTAGTGGGTTTTCGGTTCTTCGTTTTTTTTATTGTTTTTATTTTCTACAGCGTTTACGTCTGTCCTCGTGTGATACTTATAATTTGAAAATTATTTTTTTTTGTGAGCAAGAAGCACGATTTGCTTTGGCGCAACTAGTTACTGTGTAGGTTATCCTAGTGTTTGTTAATTATTGATTGAGTATTGCAACGGTTTGGTAGGTTTGGAGTTGTAGTTTACTTTAGGCATGGACCGTTGGGTAAATCTGCCTGGAACCCAATTAATACCCGTTTAATTTAAAAGAGAAGTCTTAAATAATTCCACCATATGCCTTTGTTGTCATCAGACAGCCGGTGTAGCAACTTAGTGTCTGCGCATGCGCGGGATTTGTTGCAATCTAGCAGATCATAAGGTAATTTTGTTTGACACTATAGAAGAGTTTTAAGAGCTTTTAAACAGTATTAATGGAGAAATATTTAGCCTGAACTTAAACATATGGAAAACTAAGTTAATGATATTTAGTCTAACCAGAATACAATACCAACAGCACGTTACATGTCAACGGAAATTAAATAGAAAACGTTAAGAGATTTAAATACCTGGGAAGCATTATTGTGTAAGATCTATACACAGACCCTTGTAAGATATTCGTGTTTTAAGAATAAGAAGAATTTGTACTGTCATTTGTCAATTCACTATGTAGTCGAGGACATAACCTCTACATGGCAATTAATTAGCAATTTTGGTGTAATGCACATGTTTTGTAAATTGTAAAACGTTCTTTTGAAATAAATGTTTATTTGAGCCATCTACCATTTATTGTTACTACACAACAACCCTAAAATCTTTCTTATTCTTCTTCGTTTTATGTAGACATCACTCCTTCTGTTTTTCAATGTGCTTCTAGTAAGTTGTCGTCCCATCATTTTCGTGCTCTTTCTTACTGATAGTCTTCCTCTTGGGGAATTGTCTCTTACAGTCTTTAATACTCTATTTGTTGTCATTTGCCATCCATTCTACTCTTCTATTTCTTACCCAGTCCTTGACGTTCTCCACCTCGTATCTATGTCGTATATCTATACTTCTAGCTCTGTCCCATAGTGTTTTACCATTAATTTTCCTTTTTGTTTTCTCTGTGTTGTCGTGTCTCTGCAGCGTATGACATTTTTGATCTGATGACTGTTTGTAAATGCTGTCTTTCATTTCTTTCCCAATATTTTTATTTCTCCATATTGTTTCGTTCAAGTAACCCGCGGCACTGTTTGCTCTATCGACTTGATCTTCCACTTTTGTTTTTAGCTTTTTGTAGCTAGATAATGTGATTCCTAGATATTTAAACTCCATCATTTCTTGTATTATCTGACTTTCCAGCTCCAATTTATATGTTAGTAAATTTGCTGTTATAACCACGCATTTTGTATTTTATGCCGAAATTCACGTGTTAAAAAATATTCTGGTGGTTATATTGAATTGGTGCAGCATACGTTGTAAATCATCTTCACTTTGGAGAGTAATATTGCGTCGTCTGCATAGCAGGAATTTAAGAAACTAAGAGGTACTCATTTTTTGATGGGAAATTTTAGACTACTGCGTTTACGACTTTATTTCATGAAAGTAATTGAAATTCCTATTATAATTCAACTTCCCCGAATTTAAATCTAAAAATTACGAAATTTTTCACATATTGTTAATTACTGTGTAGTTTGAGGGGAGACCAAAAAGGCAAATAAACTTTTAAAAAAGTTCAGCCTACTCTTAATGTTGTACGAAGTAAATGTATTTTAGAATATATATATATATATATATATATATATATATAGATAAATTAGAATATATATATATATATATATATATATATATATATATATATATATATATATATAATATATATATATATATATAGATAAATTAGAATATATCTTGAAATGTCAATCAAGGAACAGATGATTCCGTTTACTGGTACCATCAGGCTACTACAGTATGTCAAGAATAAACCTAATCCTATAGGTTTGAAGAATTTTGTGCTTACTTCAAAACCAGTGCTAGTCTTGGATTTCGGTATTTACCAAGGTGCAAGCACATGGACAGATGCTGCTCCTGACAAATCGTTGGGCATTGGAGACTCTGTCGTGAAATAATTGTCGACGAAATTATGTCCAGGAACTATAATTTAATTTAATTGATATTTCACCTCCGTTAATTTATTCGATTATTTATTAGAAAAAGGAATACTTAGTATTGGTACCATTATGAATAAAATAATACTACGAGTACTTAGGATCAAAATAAAAATAAAAAAAGATTTTGCTGTACTAAAAGAAGGCCGAGGGTCCCATGAAAAATGGGTGCGCGGTGATAATAAAGTATCTCTTTTGAAATGGATGAACAGTAGCTCTGTGAAAATTTTACATTAGCAGGTTCTTTGCCATTGACTGACGTATGAGGATGTTATAAAAAAAACTTCTAAGTATATTCTAGTGCCTTTCCAAATACAATTGTTAAATACAATCAGTCACATTATAGAATCTGTACGCCCACTAAAAAATGGCCTGTACGTGTCTGTTGGTAGTTTATTGATCTTGCATTGACAAATTCATGGATAAAGTATCGTCAGGATAGTTCAGCGTTTTACAATAAGCGAGCAGAGTTAATGGATTTACTGGAATTTAAGCTGTATGTTGGAAGGTCACTAGCTGTAGCTGGTAAGCCTACAAGCAGGAAACAAGGTAGTGCGTCTATTGTTTGTAAACATATCTAAAGTTGTAAAGTTATCGCTCATAGATGTAAGAGAAACCAGTACCAATCATTTGCTAATACGGGCTGTCAGCAAAAAAATTCTTACACGTATTGCCGAAACCTTGGATGCACTAAGAAGACACGACCAGAGACAGCATAGTCATGTGAATGTCGAGGCAATTCAGCTTCTTGACAACACTAAACTAAAAAGAAGACTCATAAGGACAAAACCATTTGAGCTTGTGTAAATGTGTAACAGTTTAGTGTAAAAAGCAGAGTATAGTGCTATGATGTTATTACATGTTAGGTGTAGAGCATTAGTTGATAGATAAAATAAGAGTAAGCCATAGGGTAAGCCCTTCGATTTAAGTATTTGCTGTTTATTAAGTTAGGTCAGAAAGAACTGATAATTTGTCATTTGGGACCAGATAGCACTATACAAACATCGTGCAGGTGTTATACAAAAAATATTATGTTGTCATCATATTATGTTGTCAGATATATTTTTTAAGTTTTTATAGATTTTCGTTTCTGTTTTTACAGATGAAGAGAGAAAATATTTTTAAAATAATAAAAACTGTTGCACTGAGTAGGATATAAACAAACTGAATAAATGGGGCGGGCATGTTCTCGACGCTGAAGTACCTGAGAGTCTTAAAAATACCCTTGTTTTGGACGCTACCGGAAGGATTATCGCAGGTACCAGATATTAGATATAATTAGGGTTTAATGATGGTCATTGAAATTTACTTAGTTACTAGTTATTAGTTTGTCAGAGACTAGTGAAAAGTGAACATGGAAATTTCAACGTTAGTAAGTAATCGTGGTAAAATTTTGCTCAAAGTGAACAGTTTTACTCTTTCTCAAGATAAAGTACTAAAATCGGGAGAAACGTATTGGAGGTGCGTAAAACGGTCGTGTAAAGCGAAGATATTCACGAAAGGGCCAGAAAAGTTAGTGATCCGAAGTAATCTAAAACATAATCACGAGTGTGATATCAAGACGCTTAATAGACAGATTGTGCGTAGCAGTGCCAAAAGGAAGGCTAAGGATAATTTGACCGAAAGGCCGTCCAAAATCAAACATAGTGCGTTGAAAGAAAATGTAGATTTCTTGAGCTACATGTCTGTTAAAGACGTTAATTTAATAGGAAATCAAATATACAGTGAACGGCGAATGGCTCAACCGAAACTGCTCAAAAGTAAAGAAGAAACTATTGCTGCGGTAAATATTATGAATATCAAAACACTTAAAGACGAGAATTTTATATTTGCGATTGAACTAAGTTCTAAAATTATCATCTTCTCGTGTAACACTAACATGCGTTTTTTGTGCGGCAGTGAAACGATTTATATGGACGGTACATTTAGTTACTGTGCTCAATATTTCAAGCAATTTGTTACCATACATGTATTTATCAATGGACATTATATACCATTGTGTTATTGTTTACTTCCCGACAAATCGGAACAAACCTATATAAAACTATTTAATGTTTTGAAACGCAAATGTAAAGTAATTGGTCTAAAATTCAATCCAAAAATTATTTTCTCCGATTTTGAAATTGCTATCTATCCACAATGCTGCGCGTTTTGAATTTCCAAATGTGCACATTAAAGAATTACTTAAAATGACAAAGAGTTATGAAGCAACATTAATCGTAGGAGATTTTAATGCCAAAGTGGGTTGTGGAAAAGTGGAACATATTTGTGGAAATTACGGACTGGGCAATCGCAATGATAGAGGTGACAGACTACTACAATTTTGCCAGGAGAAACAACTAACTATCATGAACACCTGGTTCAAGCTACCACTACGGAGGCTATATACGTGGAAATCACCCGCAGATAATAAAAACAATTGTGTCCGAAATCAAATCGATTACATTATTATAAACCAGCGATATAGAAATGCAGTAACGGATACAAGAACATACCCAGGCGCAGATGTTCCATCGGATCACAACCTACTAGTGGCTAAATTAAAAATAAAGTTCAAAATGCTAAAAAAGACTGACAAAAGAAAAACCGACATCAATTTACTTAAACAAGAAAATATACAAAGTATGGTAAAGACTAAACTCAACGAGGAATGTGAAAGACTCCAAAGAGAGTTATCACCAACTACAGAAGCTTTATGGACTGAAATCAAGAATGCTTTTACTAGCGCCGAGAAATATATAAAAGACACTAATAACAAAAGAAAATCTAAACCCTGGATGACACAAAAAATTCTGGGAATGATGGATACTCGAAGAGCCTACAAAAATAAAGATAATGAAAAATATAGGGAGATACATCGTCAAATCAAGAAAGAAATAGCTACCGCAAAAGAAAATTGGATGATAGAAAACTGCCAAGAGATCGAAGAATTAATAAAGAGACACGACAGTCAAACGCTTCACAAAAAAATAAAAGATCTAGCTGGAATGACAAAACAAAGACTCCCTTGTAGATTAACAAACGACGAGAATGAAACGATATGGGAATTAAGCGATCTAAACAACGTATGGGGACATTACATAGAAGAACTATTCTCAGACACACCACTAAACAACATAATATATAAAAACCATGAAACCAGTCCTCCTATATTAAAACAAGAAGTAGAGAGAGCAATCAAAAACGCAAAAAATGGGAAAGCCCCTGGCCCCGATGACATACATACGGAAGTCATAAAGCTACTGGAAGAGAAACATTTAAATATAATCGTCAAATTATTTAATCAAATATATACAAGCGGTGAAATTCCACAAGACTGGTTAAAATCAGTCTTTATTCCCCTTCCAAAAACTAAGGGAGCAAAGAAGTGTGGTGATTTCAGACTTATTAGTTTAATGTCGCATATGTTAAAGTTATTCTTGAAAGTTATTCACCAACGCATTTATAAGAAATGTGAACAGGATATCAGTGATGAACAATTTGGCTTCCGAAATGGATTTGGGACACGCGAAGCATTAACCAGTTTTATTATACTGCTGCAAAAATGTCGAGACCAAAAAAAGGATCTCTTTTTATGTTTTATTGACTATCAAAAGGCCTTCGACAAAGTAAAACATGATAAGCTGATGGATTGCCTTCACAAAAAGGGACTAGACGAGAACGATTTTAAAATTATCCAAACGCTGTATTTTAACCAAACTGCAGCAGTTAGAACAGAAGCCGGTGACACAGAAATATTCAATATCAAGCGAGGTGTACGACAGGGGTGTGTATTGTCACCACTACTTTTCAATATATATTCGGAAGAAATCTTTGCACGAGCACTAGAGCAATCAAGAGAAGGTGTTAAAATTAACGGCAGAGTTCTAAATAATGTACGATACGCCGACGACACGGTCCTAATTGCAGAGAGCGCACAGGATCTCCAGACACTCTTAGATCGCGTCAGATCGATCGGAGAACAATACGGCCTCAGCATTAACGTCAAGAAAACAAAAACAATGATTGTCTCCAAAACATCCATCCATCCACCCATGGCTTTAAACGTGAATGGTAACATTATCGAAAATGTCGAGAAATTTCGATATCTAGGGTGCTGGATAACGAAAGATATAGATCCAGACATAGAAATAAAATCGCGAATTGAACAAGCAAGAAATGTCTTTTTAAAAATGAAACAAATGTTTACGTCCCAAACACTCAATCTCAAAATCCGATACCGAATGCTGAAATGTTACGTTTACAGCACCTTACTATATGGAATGGAGGCCTGGACCTTTAAAATCAACTCACTAAGGCGTTTGGAAAGTTTTGAAATGTGGTTATTTCGAAGGATGCTGAAAGTCCCCTGGACAGCGCATATGAGCAACGAGCAGGTCCTACACAAGATGGGTACCGACAGAGAACTCTTAAAAATAATGAAAACACGGAAAACCTCATATTTGGGACACATATACAGAAATGAGAAATACCAGCTACTGCAGCTTCTTATAGAGGGGAAGGTAGAAGGAAGACGTGGTCCTGGTAGACGGCAGGCGTCCTGGTTGAAGAACATTCGTGAGTGGACTGGTTTGGATTCTCAATCTTTAATAAGAAAAGCCAGGGACAGAAATGATTTTGCTGAGGTTATCGCCAACCTTCATTGAAGACGGCACCCAAAGAAGAAGAAGCACATTAAAGGGTGCCGTTTTCATCTTATGCAAGCTTGGTATCGTAATATCGGTGGTTGTGGCTTAATTCAAGAATATAAATTGGCAGACAGTGAAATATCTAAATGGCTGAAATATATTTTTGGGCTGCTATTTTTACCTCCCTTAGAAGTCGAAGAATCTTTCATATATGATTTTATGGCTATTCAACCAAAGGATTCAAAAATTGAAAAGTTTATCGACTACTTATTGGACAACTACATTGGCGACCACGCAACATTTCCGTCGGAGATGTGGGCTGCGATGAGTGAGAGTTTACAACTAATGCTTGTGAATCATTCCACTCACGTTTTAATGCTAATTTTTACCATGCTCATCCAAATATTTTCCATTTTATTGATGTTTTAAAAATTTTCAAACTGAAACTTACATTAAAATTAATAGTATCTGTAATAGTGAAAGTAATAGACTTAAAGATCCAAAGAGTAGAAAAAATTATGTTCGTTAGAAATAGGATACATGAGTATCAAACTAACTGTATTGATCAATTCCATTTCGTAAACTGTATGTCGTATTTATTTCAAAGTGACAAATAAACCTTATCAAGCTTAATCTCTAGAATACTTTCCATTTGCATTTATGCACGCCCAATAAGTGTGCCTAAAATTGTTATTTAAAAAAAAAGGAAATTTTTTTATTTTATATTTATTCAAATTATAATATTGTACAAATATACATTAAAATTCTATAACATATATATCACATAACATAACAAATATAAATATCACCAATACATTTTATATAAATAAATAAATTTACAGAAGATAATGTTAGATTTGTTTCTTGTAGTAATACTATTGGTAATAACAATAAAATCTATATAGCACATTGTGGAAAATTTTTCAGTTAAAAATTGTTAATGTTGTATAAATACTTATCAATATAAAGATAGCTGACGCTACCCGAGTGCTGCTGTTTTCTGAAAAAAAAATCAGGATTATTAATTTTTATTAAGAGTTTAAACACAAAAACTATACAAAGTAGTGGTAAGGTTATTGGAAACTGGAAAATAAGAGATGTGTTAGGTTTAATAGTACAAGACACACACTAAATATCGTAGATACAAACAAAAAAAAACTGACAAGGAGAATAAATTTTAAACCGGAAGCTGCTGTGTTTTATAACAAGTTAAAATAAGTATTGATTTGTCAGATCAAATGGCTTCCCATTTTACTGTCCTTCGTCGATGTTTGAGATGGTACCATAAAGTTGCATTTGAGTATATGTTTGGAAAGTCACTAATCAATGCCTTACATCTTATACCAAATATCAAGTGATAACAAAATTCAAAGAAAAATATATCATCAAAAACAAGCAATAAAAGAAACGATTAAAAAAACAAACGATAATCGAAAAAAGGGAAAATAATGTGTTGTTTGTTATTAGAAAGAGTACGAAATTCACAAAGTCTCAGCAAAAAATGCTAAACTGGTTTCTAGTATCTGTAATAGTTGCCCAAATGCTCCGGCGCTATGCTTGGAATTCAAAAAAGAATCAAGACAATATTTTTGTCTTTTAAATAAAACATTTCTTTTTTTTTCTGTAACTTTTTATAATATAATATTTAGCAAATAATGCGTGACTGTTTTAATAAAAGTAACTTTTTCCGTGAGATCTTCCTATTTTCTTATTACTTTTGTAACTATACTAAGATGAATTATCCGTAATGCCCATTTGTCCGGCATGACATTAGGTTCACTTACATCTCACCGGCATACTCTGTTTGTTCGATTTAATATACCAACAATATTAATGGTCATTTAAACTGCACTCTGCAAAAGTATCACGAGTGATACACAGTGACCAGAAATGAACCAAGAAAGTTGATCACCGGTAATACATATGGTATCACAACGCAAAATTATCACATTATCATTGGTAACTAGGCATACCATAATTATTGTATTTTGTTACTTGATAATGAAAACAATCCTTCCAATAACTTAATTTTATCTATATTCTTCATATTGATAATTCAGACATAGGTATATTATAAATTTTAAATTAAACTTTGAAATGATATTGTTAATATTTTTGAGGCTCATTCTTGGGACGTTACTGCAAGATAGTTCGGTCGATTACATAAAATACCTGTCATAAAAGTCATAGCATGTGATTTATCTTTAAAAAGACAACCACACCCAGTAATGACAGTAAAATTCTCTCGTTAGCGATTCCATTGTAAATCATTTCCGCAGTGGAAATCGAAACATCAAAATAACCATATTGTAGCGAGATTAAATAAAACGAGCGGTTCGAATTTATATAAATATAGTTATTTATAACTTTACAGTGCGGTGTTCTCTTATCAACTAAACTAACTCCTAAGATCGTTACATATATATACCAAAGTTACTATTTTCTAGAAAGTTCCCACCTCTAGGCGTACGTGACTGATGTTTCTGTTACATGTTTCTGTTACATGTTTCTGGAAACATCAAGTCGCTTTCGAAATGCAGCCGTTATACGGGGACACGCTGAAAGCGTGTTCGTAACACTGCTCCCCCCTTAGATCTGAGCGTCCCGATCAGCAACTCTATATGTAGGCCCAGGATGACGGAATCTACAGGACTCTCCAGCTCTGCATGAACCCCTCAGAAAGAAATAACAGTCTACTGTCTTTGAAGGACACAATCTCTTTGGATTAGTGAAACACACGGTAATTCTTACACCGGTTTCTAGGAAGATCACTTCTAGCATGCTTCTGACAATCTTCCAATCCAGATTATCTAGTGCATGGCCTATCTTGGGTAAGGCCAAATTCTTAATGTCGTAATTGCAGACGATTTTCTTCAAATTAGTTAGAGCACACCATATATCCTCGTAGGTTGCCCTGTCTGTATACGACTTCCTGGTCACCATACACAGCAAAGATCGAGAACCATCTTCTAATCTCAGTACTCTTCCAACTTTAGGCTGCTGGTTTTTTAACTCGTCCAAACGACCGAACTTCTTATAAAATACGGATGAGATTCCTTTAGTCATCTCAAGATCTTGGGCAACACAGTGGGCTAGAGTGACGTTATGCGGAACACTAAAAAGATCCTGCTGCGGTGCGGTGTTCTCTTATCAACTAAACTAACTCCTAAGATCGTTACATATATATACCAAAGTTACTATTTTCTAGACAGTTCTCACCTCTAGGCGTAAGTGACTGATGTTTCTGGAAACATCAAGTCGCTTTCGAAATGCAGCCGCTATACGGGGACACGCTGAAAGCGTGTTCGTAACAATATTTTAAATAGAAATCGTGGTTAACAGGTTAAACGCCATGGCGGTCCCTAGGGACCGATCTTATTGTACCAGGCTAGAGCGGTCCATCGGGACCGCTTTGTCATTCTTTCAGTATTTTTTCTTCTGTGGGCCAAAGGGCCGATAATTTCATTGATACTATCGAATCCAATGAACCTCTAGGCGTACAGCTTAGGCTTAGGTATAAGAGTTTATCTGTTTAATTGTTTTTTTATCCAAACAATAAAGCAATAACTTTTAATGCAAGTGTATGAATATGTAAAAAAACTACAGAAATAAACATTTAATTATAAAATAAAATAACTGAATTCCATAAACTAATACTACTTATATGGTAGAATGAATGGGTACCAGAAGAGTGGCTAAAGAGAATCATATGTCCGTTGCATAAAAAGGGTGGTCAACTGGAGTGTAAGAACTATAGAGGCATTACTCTGTTAGCATCTGCGTATAAAATCTTCGGCAATGTATTATTTGAAAGACTTAAACATTTTACAAAGGATATTGTTGGCAAATATCAATGCTGATTTACTGCTGGAAAGTCAACTACACATCAAATTCAAGCACATAGGCAGATTCTAGAAAAGTCACTAAAATATAATATAGATATACACCATCTCTTTATTGACTTCAAAGCAGCCTATGATAGTGTGAAAAGAACTGCATTATTTATAATGCAATGATAGACTTTAAAATCTCACCTAAGTTAGTTAAGTTGACCCAACAACAATACAAAACGTAAGCTCATGTGTTAGAATTGAAGGAGAAAACTCTACGTTTTTTGACATTAATAATAGTCTAAGACAGGGAGACGCGTTGGGGTGTTTCCTCTTTAATATTGCATTGGAAAAGGCAATCAGACAATTAAATATTAGAATGAATGGAACTATTTTTAATAGATCGTCGCAAATTCTGGCATTCGCTGACGATATAGTTATAGTAGGCAGAAGTATTAGAGACATGGTGCAATGTTTTACAAGGCTTGCGAATGCAGCAATTGAATTAGGACTTACTACGATACTTACTAAGTGATAAACGAGGAAAAAAACCAAATATATCTTAGTTTCCAAAAACCCTCGAAATATCCAACAGAGAATTCAAATTAACAACCTAAGACCATAAAAACTGATAGACACGCCGTAATGCTATTCTCTCGTCCCGAAGAGTGAAGCCAACATAAAACGATTCACACAGCTGTGGGTGACGTCAGTTTGCGGCAGAAACGGTAGAGATTAGAAGTGTTTATACGCGTTTGTAAACTTTTTAAAGTGCTCCAATTTCAAATTTTTCCAATAAATTAATATTTTAATAATGGTGTCATCTTGCAGTGCATTTAATTGTACGCAGCGACAAAAAAAGAGACAGATATATCATTTCATGGGTAAGTAAATTCACAAATTAAACTTGAAAAACTTACCAGAAATTTAGCACCTATTATTTTACTTTTTCCCCCCAAAGTGTTTAAAATAGATACATATGAGAGAGAGAGAGAGTCTCATATATAATTTTCATTTTATAATTAGATTGAAAACTAAAGGATTAAGTAAATAAATTGTTTTAGATTTCCTAAAGATTCATCATTGCAAAAACAATGGATTATAGCGATGCTATAAATTTTAAACCAACAAAGAGTTCTAAAATTTGCTCCAAACATTTCACAGCGGATTCATATATTACTAGCGGTTGGAGTTCAAAAAAAAACAAATAAAAAAGATGCTGTACCCAGCATTTTCGATTTTCCAAACCATTTAATTAAGCAAGTTACAACTAGAAAATTTGCAAAAGAAAGAGAAACTGTCTCAGTCAAACCAACAGGATCTAAATAGAAAATATAAATATAACGAATGAATCTACCACCACGTAGAAATTTTAGACGAAACTACCTTAAACCTCCCTTGAAAAACCGAAGACATTATCTTGGTGACTTTGAACAAGGATCATCTAACAGAGACCAGGGATATAAAGTAGTAGTAAACAAATTAATTCAAAAGAAAAACAAACAAATCAAAATGTTGCAACAACAAAATAGAAGGCGTATTAAAAAAGTAAATACCTTAAAATCTTTATTAGAACATCTTAAAGAAAAACGGGAAAGCTGCCGATAGGTTACTTTTTAATCGCTGGGTTATCAGGTGTTCAAAAAAGTAATTTAATAAAAATGTGTTAAAAAATAATGCACGAAGATGATGTCACAATTACCAGTTTAACGTTTGATGGTGCAGCATCAAATATAAGCATGGTTAAAGAACTTGGGAGTTGATTTATCGATTAATTCCAATAAAGTATATTTTCTACATCCAGCAACAAATCAACCAATATATGTGATATTTGACCCTCCACATATGTTGAAACTTATTCGCAATACTTTAGGTTATTACAAAATTTTTTTTGGCGAGAATAATAAAGCGATTAAATGGGAATATTTGCAAAAATTAGTAGACATTCAAAAAAAGGAAGGCCTTCATCTTGCAACTAGGATAACGCGAAGGCATTTAAATTGGTATAATGAAAAATGAAAGTGAAATTAGCTGTCCAAACGCTCAGCCAAAAAGTTGCTAAGGCAATACATTATTTGAGAAATAAAAGATCAAACGAATTTGTACATAGCGAAGCTAATCAAAATTTCATTGAACATATCAATGAATATTTTTGATATTTTAAATAGCC